AGTTTTATTATAAAGCAAATTTTTCCGCAGTCCTACGGTCCTTGCTCATTTTATAGACCTTGGTGTAATAAAATCATAAAAAAATTGGATCTTTTTTTTTTAAATATTTACTCTCTAAACTATGAAAAGTGTAAGAAGGTTCACATTTCACATGTGGACCTTCAAATCACAATTTACCAAAATGTTGATTTTATGTTTTCTATTTTTCAATTTAGGTGGTATATTATGTGTTAAAAAATAAGAAATTTCATAATAGCCGAAGAAAGTATTTATTTAGTAGGTGTCAATATTTATATAAATATAATCAAACTAACTTCATTTAAAAGTATCATAAACAAATTCATAATACTTCGTATATTATTTATTTATGAAGAGAATTTTTTGCTTATTATTTTAAAAAATTCAATTTTAGTCGAGTCATGTATTGATTTTTAATTTTTTTAATCTAGTTATTGAAATGTATTATTTGTTTTTAATTTTACATTATTATTAAAATAAATAGAATCAAAACTAATTTCATTTTAAATATTATAAACTAATACTTGTATGAAAATTATTTAAACATGAAAAAATCATCTTATTTATTAATCAATTTTTTTTATAAATGAAGCGAGTAAAAAATATTGTAGTGTATTGGAAAGAGTATTTTCATAAAAATGAATGTTTCTCTTTAACAATTAAATTTATTCAAAGATTTTATTCCAAAACATTGAATTCGCATTATACCTTAAATTAAGTGACACATTAAGTGTCATAAAAATATAAAATTTATTTATAGGTAAAGGATATATTTTATTTAATAGGTGTCAATATATAAATAAATACAATCAAAGGAATATCATGTAAATGTATAATGAATAAATATAAAATTTATTTATGGGTGAGGAGTGTATTTTATTTATTATTCTAAAAATATTTTGTAAATTTTATGATTTAACGAATCCGAGATAGGTATTAAAAATAACTGTATGGAGAGTCCTTAAAAATGATATTTTATTAAAAGTAATAATTTACACGGAAAATAATTTTAATTCTAATTTTGAATTCATGGGTTCAAAATAAGTAATTACCCCATATCATTTTTGAAAAAAGAGAAAAAATGTGAAATAATGGAAGAGAGTAAATTTGGTTAACTTGCCACCTAATATGCCACATGCCAAGCTCCTAATATGCCACATGTCAAGCTTTGAATATGCCAAATGTCAATTTCTTAGAAAATGGAGTCTCCTTTTTATATATAAAGGATATAAAGAATACAAATTTAATAGGACTAATATATAAATATAAATTTAAATAAAACTAAATATAAAATTAACATGACATCCAATTATTTGAATTTGTATAAAATATAATTAAATTAGTACGAATTTCAAGGAAATCATTCTATTATGTCAAAGGAGTAATTAAAAATTAAAAAACTTAAAAATTTAAAAAAGTTATAAAAATAATTTTTTAACAAAGTTAAAACTAAAAATAAAAAACCGAAGAATAATACGGAGTAATGAAGAAGAAGGAAAGAAAAAATTGAAAAATGAAGAAATAACATACACCAAAGAAAAAAGAACAAAAAAAGAAAAAGAAGCTGCTTTATCAAAATGTGTTTTTAGAACATTTCTGTTTATAGTGCATTAGAGTTGATGAACAAAAAAATAAAATGAAAAATGAATATTGTAGATCTGATAATATAAAATTAATGGGAATATGTATTTATAGTGTGCGAAAAAGTTAGAGAATGTATATGGTACAACCGGATGTACGGACGTACGTTGGGTGATTTCCCTGCATGTGTAAGTTCCTTGTTTTGTATTCCATTATATGTAACTTTATTATATACTTTCCCAAATAAAGCAAAGCAGATTAGCGTACTCCGTTTGGCCTGCAGAATTTACCAGAAACGGAGTAGCCTACTCCGTTCCACTCATTTAAATACCCAAACGGAGTAGCCAACTCCGTTCCAATTATTTAATTAGAAAACGGAGTAGCCAACTCCGTTCATTGTTTTTTTTAATTTTTTTTTAAAATGAAGTATTTACTTTATTTCCTATATTTAAAAAAACATAAAAAATTATAAAAATCAACAAATTATTGAAATATAATGAAACAAAGAATCTACTAACAATAAAATTCATAGTTAAAATAAATATTTATTGACTTTAAATAATGCACCATACACCGAATTAAAAATAAGAAATAAATTACAACAAATTTATTGATAGAGTACATAAAATTTATCCATAAAATTAAAGATACAAAACACATGCCATCACTAATTTATTTGTGAAAATCATAAAACATAAACTTGGATCATTGCGACGTCGTCGTGGTCGGTAGTCCATGTTATTCGGGTAGCGAGTTCTTGTTGGTCGACCGGTTTGTGTTCTCGCTCGTGCTGTTGGTCTCACAATCTCGTATCCTGGAGTAGGCCAGTCGGCCTCATCGGGAAGCGGCATTAGGATGCCGGAATAAGCGTTGATGTAGGATTGGAGTGAAAAAACATTAGGAATCAAATGATCCACATTGACACTACAATGATGACATACTGCGTGAACGTGAATGCACGGAATGTGATATATTACCCAATATCTGCAGGTACATGTCCGTGCATTTAAATTCACCGCAAATGTCTCGCGGTGACCATTGTTGAAGGACCCATCCACAACCACAGAGTATATCCCATGCTGTGCGTGGTGCTGCACAACACGACAATAAAACCTATTTTCTTCATTGTTCTTGATCTTTTTCCACACATTCATTGGAAAATTATACCCAGATTGTTGCCACAAATATCCATTGGTTCGCCTATCAGCAAATAGCTTGACCAATTTGTCATACGTGAACCTCACAATGGCAAAGACAGGTAAACAACGACATCCCTTAAGGACATGATTGAAGCTTTCTGATGAATTTGTTGTCGTAATACCATGGCGTGAGCCACCTTCATCATGGGACAATGCCCACATGTGTTTTGGAATAGCCCTAAGCCAGTTGTATGTTCCTTGATTTTTGGCTGCTATCTCGAGAAGCGTCTGCTCAAACTCACTTCTGCTAG